AAATCTTAATAAATGTAGAAATATTTTTCTGTAAAATGTCACCAGTGAGCTTCCTTTTCCGGACCAAAAACCCCTTACAAATATGTATATTTTTGAAGTAAAATAAAATACTTGCTTTGTTGCAGCTCTGATTTTATTGTTATTTATGCAGAATTAACAGGATGACTGTAGGTGGCAGTATTTGCCTTATAAAAGCAGAATTACCAACCTCAATAAGCTCTTCAGAATTAAGAAGTAGCAAGCGTGTGGACAGTCGTATTTGTTAATACTCAATGATTAAAATTTTCTCTTGGCCTGTAATATAGGTAAAAATTGGTTGTTCTAAGTGTACTTTTCGTAAAGGAATATATCCAGACTTTAGAAAATGCGATGTTTTTGTTTTAAATTCTTTCAGTCAGTCCTTCCAGGTGCAGCACTCCTGCTGCAACTCTTACAACAGGAATTTGTAGAGCTAGTGCAATTGAATCACCTGGCCTCTTTCTTATTTCTTTCCCCAGATTGATGTTACTTCTTTTGTCAAAAACTGTCACACAGATACGTGTAACTGCAATCTTGGTGGGGACTGCGAGTGCTTGTGTACCAGTATTGCAGCTTATGCTCACAAATGTTGCCAGCAAGGAGCAGCGATTCACTGGCGGTCTCCTATGCTCTGTGGTATGTACCAGGTCTGAGCTCCTCCGGAGAAAGGGGTGTCTTTGGTCTTTCGCTGTTTCATGATGCAAATGTCTTGAAGTAAGACAGAAGCAGCTGGATGATAAATGTACTTCTTGTTTACATTTTCAAGCTGTCTGTGTCAGCTGTTAGTCTTATACATGTCAATTTACTGTCTTATTGAAGAAGATTGGCTGTGTTCAGGGTATGTTAGTGTGGGGGTTGTTTAAAAGGCAAAAGTATGTAAGATTTGAAGTACTTGAAAAATGCTGTGTGGGATTGCAAGCAGGTTTAGTGCATTTTACCTTTAATTCATAGTGAGAACAGTTCTCAGCTATAGAATAACTAGTGCTTCAGGTCTGCTGTCCTAGCACACCTAACTAAATACAGCTGTATGTCACTGAATAAAAGCCTCAGGAAGTAGTCACTGATTGAAGTACATTAAGGAGAATGAAACTTCCTCTAATCACAGTATATTTTACATTTTTAGGATCTCAGTGTGCTGGCACACAAGGATTCTGCTGCTACTTTTTAATAATTTTCCATTTTCTATTTTTTTTAGCTTATGACTGTGAATATTACAATCAAGGTATGTAGTATTCAGCATTACTTTCTGATTCATCCTCATTTTTATATAGCTTGTTGCACTTACCCTCCATATTTTGCAGCATGCTGTCTGACTAGCTATGTGCTGGTTGTTCAGACACTGATCACTCTAGAGTACAGAAGGGGATCTTTGATATATGTTCTCTTTTTATACAGTATGCTGTTTTGTGATCTTTATCTCTCTCTCAAAATTATTTTGTGTCCCCTTTAAAGAAAAAAAAAAGAAAGACGAAATATAATAAGAAAAAAAAATCTCAAGAGGCACTTCTCTTAAAGCAGTTCACTCAGGCTAACCTTGGAAGAAAGTATAGTTTGCTAGTTTCTCTCTGTAATGGGCCAGAATGATTTTTCAGTATTTCTGTTCTGGTATTCTGTTCAGTATTTCTGAGAGTTCAATGAGCTCAGCAAGTAAGCAAAGCAAGTGCCCTGAGGCTTTCTGCTGTGTATCCAGAGACAATGGTTGCATGGAAACAAGCATCCTAGCTGTAAGCAAAACCACACATCTGGCATCTCAGGTGAAACATGATACCTTCCACTGGAAAAATAAAATGCCTTATGGCTTGTACTTGGAAGACTCTGTTAGCAGTGTTGGAGGTTGTCTCTTTTCTCTGTTCTCTAGGGTAGGGTTACATAGTAACAGTCCCTTGAGTTCACTGAACGTTCAAGTCCATTTGAAAGGAGGGATGACTTGCATGAGCCTAGAATATTGTATGTCATTTGCCACATTTTCCTTGGCCATTTAACATCATTATGTCATTATACTGTTTTTTTTATAACCTGACCTCTGATCCATGAAAGGGTCTTTTACTCTGTGTATTTAGAGACAGTAAAACTTCACTGGAAGCAAGTGCATGCACGGACATGGCCTGTATAATCTTGAATTCCACAGGACAAAAATACTTTTTCCCACTGCCCTCCCACAGAAATCAACTTATAGGTTGCTTGGCTATTACCATTTTAATTTTCATTTCACTGAACTAATTGCTTTTGGTATGGTGAAATTGTGGAGTATTTTTCTTCAAAAATTAATGGTGTAGATATGCTTCATCTCTAATGATACTGAATTAAAAATTAATTTAGTATGATTTTTAGAAAAAATAGAAAACTTTCAAACTTTATGAATGTTTCTCACACGATGCAATTACCTTCTAAGTTTGCATTCTGAAGCGGCTTGCATTTAAATTAAAGACATGTAAAAGAGATTGCTTTGGTTCAATTAAGAATTCATTGATTGGCTTTTTCTAGCCCTAGTTTGGTATATGTACTTTTAACTGATCTCTTTTGCTTTTCATGGGTGAAAGTCAGAGGCCTCATTATGCTGAATGATCTTAGTATTCCCTACGTCTTAGCTCCTGAGCTTGTTGTTGTCAGTGTGACAAGAGAAGCATGACAAGGAAGTTTGTGTCTGCACTGTAAAATCCAGGACTGGGATTTCAATTTTTGAAATTGGTAGAGTAAAAGATTTTGTGCACAAATCTCACAAGCATTGTACCATAAAACAGCTTAAAATGAGTGATGTTCATGTAATTTCTGTGACGCACCCCATCTTAGATTTGGATGCCCTGAATGTTGATCATGGGAACAGAGATATTAAAAAGAAATGGAAACTTGGCTCACTGTGATGGTGTGAGTGTGACTTTCAATAGATCTTTTTTAGCAGCTCACATCCTGTGGTAAGCATCATACAGTAGGCAGATTTTCTTCTCCCTCAAAGGATCCGGTCCAGTACTTTTCAGCATGTAAATCCTGCTAGGTATACCAAACTTTCCATGATATTCCTTGTAATAGAGGATTGTGTCTTGTTTAAAAAGTAAAAAGAAAGTCAAGGATGACTTTGTGCATGTGTTGGCCGTCAAGTGCCACCTAAACACCTTTTGGGATGTAGGATGGCTCCTTCTCCAGCTCTGATTCTTTTTTTTGTTCTGCCTGATGTCAAATTGTGGAATTTTTATAGAAGCTTTATGGATTACAGCTCACACCTGCTTCTGCTGAAGTCACAGGCTAGGTATCTGTTAATTTAGAATGAAAAAAGCTAGATGATTTAGGATAAACAGCCTGTAATTGCCTTACCACTTTCTCTGTAGCAAGCTTGTGAGCTTCATATGCATGTGAGCTCCACCATAGTTTCCATATAAAAACAGTGGTGATTTTCATGCAGTTTTCTTCATAACTTGATGCCTAACTTCCTGCTGAGCCAAATCTCATTATTAGGAGCATTCCTTCCCTCTTGTGGCCATATTGGAATGGTGCTGTCCTAGGCTGGGAAAAGGGTTTAGCCCTTCCACTGAAAGGATTAAACGTGTTCACAAAACTTAGATTTTGCTTATTACTCACAAGCTAAGATTTTACAAGTATGCTGCTCTTGGTTCTTTCAGAGAGGTAAAGAGTGAAGATATCCTAACTCTGTGCGTGCGTGCGTGTGTGTGTGCGTGCGTGCGCGCGTGTGAAACCCTGTGCGTCTTTCAATCATGGCAGTAATAGCTCTCAAGGCTTGCTGTGGGGAGTGCAGGTGTAGTTTGGCAAGCAACATTTTGGCAGCGCTATGGTTTGAAGCAGTTGCCACTTGTATGTTAGCATGAGCTAACATGACTATGTGGTAAACCAGATTTGAAAATTTATCTGGTTATTATTCAGCTGGATAGGTTCACGGCCCAGGCTCTTGGGATGGCATAAGCAGGACAGTAGGAGGAAAGAAGCAAATGGTTTGTGGGAGAGGATGAACAAGACAAATGCTTAAGCATTATTGCTGTCAAAAGTTGAATCACAGCCTTATAATTTGAAAGCTGTAGCATCGGTGTCTGTTTGGGCACAATAATATTAGTTCTTCAGTTCATCTTCCAATCTGTAGAAATAAGGGCGTATAAAAGACTACATACCATAAAGAAGCAGCCTTACTTTCTTGTGCGAGTCATTGTGTGAAGATAGCTGCCTCCACTCTTTGGTGCTCACTTTGGTTATTTGTGTTTTGGACAGCAAACCAAGAATAAGGGAGTATGTTAAACAGGTAGATACAGACATATTCCAGCATAACACCTTGAGGCATTGAGCTGTAGTTCCAAAGTTATTTGATTCCAGGTATGGTGAACTATCCAAGGCAATATATTCTGTCAACTAAGACTAAGGTTTTGTATGTTATGCAAGTATGGTTATTTTTTTAAAATTTGATTTTTCTTCTCTTAGGGCTTGGAGAAGGACCGTATATTTTGGCAAGTTACGGACAGAATGATACAATTATAGGAGCTAACATATCCAGTAGAAGAATATTTCCCCTGCCTAGAACTGGAGCATACGGAAATGTATTTTTTAGTTTCATGATAACTCCAGGACTTTTCAAAGATAAAGATTTATGTAAGTGTTCTCAATGTTTTTTTTTAATGGCAATTCATATTTTTCAAACTATAGGAGTCATTTTTCGAGCATCTTCTTAACCACAAGAAGTGAGGAAATGAACATTCTAGTTTGGAGGAGGAATGCTGAATTTTTTGAAAAAAATATTGGCAAATCTAGCTGCCAGCTTTAAAGCTGCCTTAAAAAAATTATTTTTAGAAATATTACAAAATACAAGTGAACAGAGTTCCTTTGTGAGAAAAATGTAATTAGACTGTATAACTGGAAAACTTGGTATATGTAGCTAGCGAGTATCAGTTCTAAAGATGAATGCAGGAATATATTTGTCTCCAGTAGAGCCATTTCTGCTGCATCTTTCTTCTTTTGGAGGACTTTCAGTGTATTCTGAAACATGCAACTTAGAACACCGGCCTGTCTCCTATGTGATTGTTGTGCAGTATCTCAAGACAATATAGAGAAAAGTCTGCTTTAGCTAACAGCTATTTCTAAGCTCTATTTTTCACTTATCCAAAGTATACAACCAAAACTAAATATATTTAAATAGTTTTCCTTCTGCATTTCTTCACATCTGTTGGGTTTGTGCCACTGAAGTCAATACAGACTTTGCCACTGCTTTCTGTAGTTTAATTTGTTGAAAAAAATCCCAAACCCTCAGAAATCAAAAGAGCAGGGCTCTCTTTACAGTAAAAATTTCGAACTATATTCACAAGCAACTGACAATTTGGCAGTAGAGGAATTAGGTTTTTAGATATGATTTTGAAAGTGGAAAGTGTATAAAAGAGAAATTAATGAAGTCTTGTGAAATTCTCTAACAGATAAGCAAGGCTTTTGACACTGTCTCCCATCACATCCTCCTAGGTAAGCTCAGGAAGTGTGGGCTAGATTAGTGGAGAGTGAGGTGGATTGAGAACTGGCTGGATGGCCGAGCTCCGAGGGTTGTGGTGAATGGCGCAGAGTCAAGTTGGAGGCCTGTGGCTAGTGGTGTCCCCCAGGGGTCAGTCCTGGGGCCAGTCCTGTTCAACGTATTCATCCATGACCTGGAGGAAGGGACAGAGTCTTTCATTGCTTTAGATTTCCTTTCAACACAGCAATGGTTGGTTGCTCGGGGAGTGTTTGTTACTCTACAAATAGACTGGAAAATCATCCAGAAAACAAGACTGCAAACAACATGGAAATTGATCTATTTGTTGTATATTAAACAATCATTTTCTCAGAAAGGCCCCTTAAATTCTTAATTTTTGGACCTGTGAACAATTATACGTAGTCCAATTCATATAAAAAATAGGGGACTCACTGGGTGTGGCCCAGATGTCTTGACCCACATGCCTTTTTTCCTGGAATTCTTCTTGAAGCACTGCAGTCCTTGTGACTCACCTGGATAGTTTCTTGGCGATGTGCCTGGAAACGGGGCACAAGCAGCATGTTAGGAAATGATGAGAAAAGTGGTAGTAACATTAAATTCAGGCATTATCCAAGGTAATTTCAAGTAAGAGGCACAAACATGGCTTGAGAGGTGTCCACAGGAATACACAGATGGAAATGAGCTCCTACAAAATACATCCTAAAATCAGCCATGTCACCATCTTGAAAGAGAGACATGGCACTACTGGAGAGAGTCCAGCGGAGGGCTACCAAGATGATTAGAGGGCTGGAGCACCTCTCCTCTGAAGAAAGGCTGCAAGAGCTGGGCCTGTTCAGCCTGGAGAAGAGAAGATTGAGAGGTGATCTGATCAACGTGTATAAGTATCTGAAGGGGGAGTGTCAAGAGGATGAGGCCAGCCTCTTCTCCGTGGTGCCCAGCAACAAGACAAGAGGCAATGGGCAGAAACTGAACCACAGGAAGTTCCACCTAAACCTGAGAAAAAAATTCTTCACTGTGAGGGTGACAGAGCATTGGAACAGGTTGCCCAGAGAGGTAGTGGAGTCTCCTTCCCTGGAGATATTCAAAACCCGTCTGGATGTGATCCTGGGCAATCTGCTCTAGAGGACCCTGCTTGAGCCGGGGGGGATTGGACTAGATGATCTCCAGAGGTCCCTTCCAACCTAAACGGTTCTGTGATATAAGTAATGTCAGTAAAATATGCATTATATCTAGGCAGTTCACAGGTAGTTTTCATATCTGTAAGGGTTGAGATAGTATTTATATAAATTAAAGAAACGTGAAGATTTTATTCAAGTTGACAGTCAAATCTGATGTCAGCCTTCTTTTAAGTTTTGAAATTTTCAGCAAATTTTTTTCACTTTTGATTTCTAGGCGAGGGTAGAGCAAATACAAATATTTTGTGTAAGGTCATAGGTTTTCTTACTGTATTTCTGGAAGTGGCTGTGTGTAAAAATCATTGACCTTGAGGTGAAGTCAGGCTGTTCTTACAAAATGTGTGTAGTCTTATTTATTAACAAAATTTTGACACAGTTGAACTGTCAGATTTTTATCTGAATTTGAGAATAAATTGTCACAATTTGATAATGTCACAGTCTGAGACTGCTTCTGAATCATATTGAAGACTATCATATAGTCTAACTGATTATCTCTTTTGTGGGGGCTGGATTATGGTTATCATTTCAAGTTTCCTTTAGAGTCTGCAATTTTAACTTTTTTATGCTACATGGAAATGGAATATTTTTTATGAAGAGCAGTTATTTAAAATGAACTGATTAACAGCCAATATACAGTTTGTAACCTTGCTTTTAGATTTTTTTTTCTGTGAAAAGCTTACTGGTAATGGCCTTATATTTTGTTTCTCACAGCACTCTCCCTGGTTTCCCTTGAATCTGCTGAAAGACCAAACTACTACTTGTATGTACATGACAATGAAAGCATTGGGTTGGAACAGTGGCAGGCAAGTGCTTCCTTTCAGAGACAAGCCTCGTTCTTCCACCACCAAGGCCTCTGGAGTCCAGGATTCAGTGCCTTTGAAATGCATAGTAAAAAAGGCTTTTTCATCATTCTCACATCATCTGGTGTTAAAGTGGCAAAGTATGATGAGTCAGAAAAATTCAAACGTTCAAGTAGCTTTAGTATTGAAGGTAAGTTTTATATATTTCCCAGGAATAAGTAGTGTGTGTCTGTTTGCCTTCAGAGGGATTTTCTTTCATCCACAATAGTAACAAATACATTTTCTCCTCTTTTTAATTACTATTCTGTCCTTGTCTTCCATCCCACTTCCAAACGTCATTTCCAAATGTTTTCCAATATGAAGATCAGTCACTTCATCTTTGGACTACATTTTCATTGTTAATTCCTTCAAAATGAATGTGGCATGTCATAAGAGATTTGTGTTAGTATCTTGTTAGTGAGCTACATATACCTATAAATGAATGGGGTAAGTGTGTTGCTTCTGAAACCAATAGTACATACACTATGTTTAATTAATTTTTAAATTTTTTAAACCAAATATTTTGTGAAGAGTGAATGACTGTTTGTACCTTTGATGCTTCAGTATCGTTTAACTTGATTGAATTTGAAATACTCATTCAAATGAGCAAAATCTCATCTATTTGGAAGTTCTTGAGAATTTCTGCACTTTGTTTTCAGCCTTTTATTTTTCTGAGCATCCTAACGCACACTGTAGAAGAGACTATAAATTTATACTTTATTGACTACACAGTGCATAAATTATACTTTTTCCTTATTTCTTAGAACTCAGTGCATCCGTACCTTATAGAAGGATTTGTGAATGGAGATATGAACCTTGTGCTCATCCCTGTTTTAAAACATGTAGGGATCCTGAAGGAATAGCATGTAAATTTCTTCCTCCGTAAGTCAGATTAAATTCAGTATTGCTAGCGTATTGTTTTATGTAATATGTGTACAGTATGTTTTCTGAAAGTTGCTACTGCTGCAGTGTTCATTAATTTTTACTCATCTAAATTTCAACAGCATTGCAACAAGAAGTGAGCAAGTATCACCAGTCATTTGAAACCGTTTGTAACAAGACTTTTGTGTCCCCATGATATATATTCCTGTTTATATGTGATCCTTAGACACAGCTAGGAACAAATAAAAAGCAGGTTTGCATTTAGCCTAGGGGATTAGCTTCTGGTAGTGCTACGTAGAAATCTATTTAGTGAAATGAAGATTGTTCCTTTCTGTGATGATATATTCATTCACACCACAAAAACCATGTTACTGTAAGAGACTACATCTTTAACCATGTCACTGTAACAGACTACATCTGCAGGTGTTTAAGGGACAGATCAAAACTTGAAAGAATAGTAAGGGTGAACTATGCCCTCTCCTGTAAAAAGATGGAATTTTATCATTAGAGATACAGATTGGCATGTTAGAAGGTATTTCACACTGCTGATACTAGTTTTCTAGTTATTAGTAGTGATAAGGTTTCCTGATCTCCTCTGACATCTGAAGAACCACAATTTTTTTAAAACAAATTAAAAAAAAGTTGTCTAAAATTCAAGGCACGAAGTCTGGTGGAAAAGAAAAGATACTTTGATTTTCAGCATATCTCCTTAGGCATATGCTGTTCATGGTTAGATATATTCCTAAAGCATGTTTCCTCTGTTGTATTCCTTAATTTTTTCCAGATGAGTACACCGATTGTTAATTTAATGATTTTCTCACTGAAGTACATTTAAAAAAAATTAAAAAAGTAAGGGAAGATAAGGAGTTATCTGCATTTTCCTACTCTGTGGTGGTACACAAGACTGAGAGACTTCTTATAAAGTAAATGTGAATACCTTAATGTCTCAAATATACATATCTGAGCAGTGTTCTTGTAGTGAAATTCTTGGGAATTCATGGGAAGTCTCATGGGAAACCTTTTTGCTTAGGTTAGGGATCTGAACTCACACAGGGTTGTCAGAAGCAGAATGTTCCAAAACTATCATGTATAGAGAATGGATTATTAATGATTTAGAAACAAAGTTAAGCTGTTCAATGTCTTATTGACCTTATTATGCCTCAAAATGCTCTGTGTTCTTCATTACGCTACAAATTTCTCAGAGCTCTGGCAGGAACACACTGAAATATCTCATTTTGCCAAATTGAATGAATTTAGAACTAATTTATATTTCTACTGTGCCGTTTCTGCTTTAGAAGTAACTATGCAATATTTTAAAGGGTTGAAGGATGCTTGCCACACTGTCCCAAAAACATGATCGTTGATGAGGTCACGCTTAAATGTGTTTATCCAGAAGACTGTAAGTATGTTTTTTTATTATGGTCTAGTCTTATAAATTGCTCTACATATCTGATTAAAGTTTGCAATCAAATGTACTTTGTTTTTGCTATTAAATGTTTTAACAAAGCATTCCTCTGTTGAAGAATGCCTCCCTGGGACATACACTGCATTCCCATTCATCTAAAATCCTACATCCAAGCAAGTCATACATAAAGCTGAATTCATTTCTCTAACACTGAGTTAAACTCAGCCTTTTGTCACAGTGTTAGACTTGCTACAACTGTGATTTGGCCATATAACTGCTTTCATATAATATGTATATGAGAGAGATCCCAGATGGAAAAAATGCTGCTACAATGAAGAGTTCAGACTTTTCAGCTGGTGAACCACTAGTAACAAATCCAATGCATCTATTTCATAACTTCTGGTGTGTGAAGATATCACGTTATTCACTTATTTTTAGGATACTGTATTCTTTTACCATAATAATTACATTTTAATACACAGTCCTTTTTTACTTTATAAGTTTATTAATCACGTTTTGGCTGATATTTGTCAGTACTAAGTTTTCTCATGAAAACAATCGAGAGATACAAAAGAAGTTAACACATTGTTTAATCTGTTTGTTCCAAATATTTCACTAGCCTATATTTACAGAACTTTCCATAGAACTCCCTTACTGCTTCAAAACTCCTCTGCAAAATCCAGGTATAATAATAAAAAAATTAGCTACTCCATTTGCAAAGAAAAGTAGAAAAATTCTTGAGAGTCAGTTGAATTCTTTAAAGCCATCAGGCAACCTGAAACCCATATTCATTTTCTTTGCAGTCATTGACAAGTTAGCTTTTCAGCAAAATTACCCTCTAATTTGTTAATATTTAAATGAGACTAGAGTATAGATAGATATTGCTAATTTTGCTCTACCAATTATTCAGGAAAAAGAGTGAAACATGCATTTTCCTTTTAGGCATACGTGTGACACCCACGGAATCAGCAGCTGGAACAAAACCTTCATCATTAATCTCTCACACAGTTGCTACCATGGAGAGATTTCCTCAGACACCTCCTGTATTTGTTGCTATGGGGATTGAGCCAGCTGATGCCCAAATAACTGTGAAGACAGACATAACTCCAAGGGGAATGAATATGTCAGCGCAGTCCATTACAGACTTTTTTTCATTGGAATCGTCTAATGCAGCCACCTACTCTACATTTGCATTACCAAGTACAGTGGAGCCTTCTGATGTACCTCACGGCACAGCAAGCCCTTCTGTCCTTTCTATACTCACCTCTTCAACAGATTTTCCAACTGTTCTTCAAACATCAGTAGTCACATCACATACTGTCAGTTCTACTGCATCTATAACTTTACCCAGTAGAGTAGCAACTCCAACAACCCATGTTTTTACCCCACTCAGTGCCAGTCCTGTTCCAACACGTTCTGCGTTGCTAATGCCCATTTCCCTAGTTGTAGTACCATTTCCACTTGAATCATTAACCACTCAGGTAGGAACTGCTCCTACTACCACAACTTTAACAACTTTAACCTCCAAACTATCTTTTATAACTTCTGAGCTGCCTACGGGGATTTGGAGAAGCAGGCGTCCTTCAGTAAGTCGTTCTTAGGGATCAGCAGTATCTTCTGAAATGTTGTCTTTTTGCTTTGCTGGCTGGTAGAGCAACTTTCACAAGACCCACGTTTCTTCTAGGTTCACAGTTTACACTAAGTGCATCTACTTCTTCTATATCTTCTTTGTCTGTACCTGTAGTTCACCCAGAATCCATTTCTGCGCTGACTTAAACTGCTCCTCAAATTCTGAGTACTTCTAGGTTTACTAGCTTTGAGACAATTGTTCCTCAATTAATGACACCTTCGTGTTTGGAAATAGCAAAAGCCTTATCTAAAACTTCTCTTAGATCATTAAATACTAGCTCTTTAGCTAGTTTTTCTCCAAAGCCATTTTTATCTTCAATGACAATTCAAGTGACTGTTCCCAAACAGATATCTCCATTAAGGAAAGGCAGTATTTCTCCTGCTCTGCCCATAAAGACTGGATCTTCACCTCACGTTGCTTCTCAAATCCCTATAAACGCTTCTTTGAATCCTTCTGTAACGCGCACAGTATCTATACCAGTGCCTTCTCTGATTACCTGCCTGAAACCCAAAGCTGTGGGAGGGATCACTGTTGTCTCGAAGAATCTTTATAAAGAACCTTCCACTACTTCAATATTTCTTATAGTCAATCCTGAAATCTCTGATGTGTCTATAGCAAGTAACAGCCTCAACAGAAAATAAATATGGGGTGCACACTGACTCCTTTTCATTGTCATCCTTTTCTAAAAAGCCAAAGAAATCCATTAGTTCTACAGTCTTCCCTGTTAGGACATTGGTATTACCTCTAAATGTTTCATTAATAACCACTTCAAAAATTACAGAATACCCAAGCAGTCCACGTACAGAATTGAAAACCGCCCCTGTGGCACAAAAAGCAGACACTTGACTTTCTAAAGAACCTTCTCTTACAAGTTCATCATCTTTATTTACAGTCTTGTTATCAACATCAGTACCATCTTCTGTAACATCCTATACTTTGAGTTCTTCATTGATTCCCATATCTGGTAGGACATCTTCATTAACACAAAATATAACTGTTAGCCAAGTGTCACTTTCATCTCTAGATACACAGGAACCTCAAAAGTCCTGTTGTAGATTTTGCAACCCCTTCTGTAGATTTTTCTACATTCACTTAAAACACAAGACCTTCTACTAGCCATTCAGCAGCGCTAAAAACATCCATTATAATGTCCTATTTACTAACACCTAAAACTCCTGAAATCGCCTTAGAAAGCCAGTAGGGTCTCTATGTCTTCACCTTCTGCTAAGACCACTCATATCTTTACTGTTTCTCTAGGAAAGCAGAGTTCTTCAGTGAATTCTTCAGCAGAAGATGGAACAAAATCGATCATGTCAGATGGAAGCATCACTCAATCCACTACACCGCTGACCATGAACATAACTGTGAATGCTACATCCTTAAAAACAGGTTATATTTTTGCAAAAACACTACCTTCAGCCACTTTATTAGTTACTTCTGGCACTACTGTACCCCCTAGGATTACTACAAAACCCACAGATTCTTCTGTTGCTGACTTGAAATTTTATATGGCTTCAGCTTCAGTTCCTGCTACCACAGAAATACCTATGTATGTGTCACATAAATTTTTATTTACTTCTCCACCATCTCAAGTTTCACAAAGCACTAAAGAAACACTAAAAACGACAATCATGAAAACAGCTGGTGCTGCAAGTCCATTTTCACAGATGAAGAGTACCTCGTTTACGGCTTCAGAATTTAAATATGCAACCTCATTTGAAAAAACTGCAGATCTTTTAGAAAGCAGTCAGACTTTAAATATGCAAAGGAATGTCACCAAGACAAAGTCAACCAGTACTGAGAAATCTTCTGTGCCCTATTTGACAGCATTTGCAGTTCAGAGTTTGCCTTTTTCAAGTAAAATTGACACAACTTCAGTAAAATCTCTCTCTCTTTCTGAAGTCTCAGATGTAACAACATCAGATTGGTTTAAAATTGTAACACGGAGAACTGTCAAACCCTATTTTAATTTAACAGAGCCCACAGAGTTGCAGAATGGAACTATAACAAACTTATCTCATTCTAGCGGTGAAATTATTTTGCCTTCCTCTTCAGTGCCTGTGCAGACACAGGCTTCTCTGGCAAGCGCAAAAGCAATGACAGTTATAGCTGACCAGGCTTTCTCTGGTACATTGATGCATACATTGATGTCTACATCTTCTGAATGTGTGGTATGATAAGTTTTATTTGCCCCTGTGTGTTAATATATACGTTGCTTTTCAATCCGTTTTTTATGCCATGCATGATATATCAGAGATTTTAAGTATAACAAAATATCTTCCAATTTTGTTTTTATTTTTGCATTTTAAAATAATGAATTATTCGTAGAGGATTGTTGTATCTGTTCTTTTAACTGCTGTAGTATATTCTGCAACTTGGATGTATTGCTCTGGAAAAATTAGCTGTTAAAGCTATGTGCTGATTCTAGATAGTATATAATAAAACATGTAACAGATAATATTTTTAGGTACAGGAGGAGCCATAACCCATTTTGGGTTAATTGCTGGCATGTTTTTGCATGATCTTACCTTTTTTTTTTTTTTTTAATTTCTTTGTGATAGGGTTTTAAATGATGGGAATGCATGATCACTATTTCTTAAAATGCTTTGAGTCCTTACTGAATGTGATAGGTAGCCTCAACAGATAACACTTTATAGAGCGTTCCACCAAAATAGGTGAAATAGGAAGGATGTGGGTTAGATGGGTGTGGATCCACAAAGCAGTCACCTGTAACAACTACAAATAAGCAATTCTTCCCAAAATAACTGATGGAACTATCAAGACCTACAACGTAATTAATCTTGCATAGAAGAGTTAGACATTCTGCATCTAAATTGTAAAACATTTTTGCCTCTCCCAAGCCTTGTGGACTTGCTGGTCTCAAGGATTGACTAGGTGAATTATCTTTAGATTTCCACTTATTTTTAATGTAATTTATTTTATTGCTATCTTTATTTTTATATGTATTTAGCCTCTTAGAGAAAGAGCTACTTTGTTCTGTTTGGTGTTTTGGTTATTTGGGGGCCTTTTCCTTCTTAGCAGTAGCATGCAAAATATTGAATTAATATTCAGTAGAATATTGAATTGACCATATTTCATGAGTTAACTGAGTCCCTGTCTAGAGCACAAAATTGCCTGTGATAGACCTAAAGGGTATGGCTTGGTTGCTGATATCCTATGCATCTTCTGGTGTTCAAAAGCAAAAGCGCATGTGAGCATATGCTATATCTAAAGGCGCATGGCAAAAGAGTATTTTAGTCTAGCTACCGGACCTAGTGATGCATACATATCGGGGGTGACATAGAGATGATAATTCTGTCTCAGGGTGGGGCAACGAACTAGTGATCACTAGGACTTTGTAACTGCTGTGAATGCGAAGTTGATTCTGTTTTTTTTTCCCTTACGTGATAGCCAAGATACCTTGAACCTGTTGACAAATGTAGCCAGTATGTATGTCTTAATATGGTTTGGATGTTATACAACCTTTCAAAGAACTGCCCTAGAGACGTGCAGAAGCCAGACTGTGGTTTTCGAGGAATGCCATTTCAAGTTAACACTGATAGTTGTTGCCCAGAATGGGAATGTCCCTGTAAGTAATTTTCAAATGATAACATAAAGGTTTGCTACCGTGGGAAGATGAGGTTTCATGCCAAAATTAATTTAAAAGAGCTGTTTTGGGTCTCGTCAGCAAAACAGAATGAAATGTAGTGAATATTCTGGTGTTTTTGAATTAACGTTCGTGAGTGTCAAAATATTTTACTTTGAATGAAAATACTGAGATGAAATGTATTATCGTTTCCCACGATAGAAACTCTTCAGGGTTTCTATCAGTAGAAAATGTTGAGATACCACAATTTTGTCTAGACTAGAGGAGAAAATTAAATATTGGCCTTTTCTGAAAGATAGAACCCCAAAATTTAAGTTAGATCTAGCTGGAGTTTTTACTTATATTTTGAAACTGTAAAGATTGGCAGCAGACTGTCTGCCAAAGGAACAAAAAGGCCATAGAAAAGTCATATTAAAAATTTTGCAGCATTAGTGACACTCATATCACATTTCTTAATATTTGCATCAAGACAGAACAGATAAGTCTCTTGTTATCAGTAGCTCACACAAGTTGTATATTTTAACGCATATATTTCATCTGACAGTATACAGATTCATTCACCTTATCTATAAAATGTTGACATAAGTGAAAACTTTCACCAGTTTAAACTTTATCTCCTACCCTGGGCACATATCATCACTGAACTAAAGATACTTGCTTCTCCTTATGGCTCAGTATAGCATCAGCAGGGGAATTCCAAAAAGCAGTGGCAAGATTTTACTTATATAAACGTACCTTATAAAAAGCAATACTGCTAATTTTTTTTTTTTTGGTGGTGACTTCATTAAATGACAGTTCTTTTTTAGGTCAATGTTCTGTACTGTCTGAGCTGAGTGTTATTACATTTGATGGAAACAACATAGCCCTCTGTAACATGGCTTCCTACGTTTTAGTCAAGCTGCCAGAAGAAATTATTGTTGCTCATATTGAAAAATGTCCTGCTAATCAAGTAAGAAGCTTGCATACTGTCTCAGTTTCTTTAATTTTAGTTTTATACACGTGAAAGAAATTTTACCAAAATGTTGCATTCATAACTTTCAGTAAAAGTGGTACCCATTGGAAAATGGCAAGCTATTTCATTTTCAAAGAGTATGTTTCCTTATAATGTCTAAACAAAACAATTTCCTTCCGGTTAAATAGTAATTGTATTACATTATACAGAAATTTAAGTGTAGGTTCTTTTTTAATTATTAGGTGTTGGATTCAGTAGTTTGATTTGCATCTGGGGTTTATCAGCAAACAGTTCTATCAGAATTAGTAACTATTAAGCTTCCACTAATTGTATTCTGACATCCCTTATAACTTCTGCACCTGCATGTCTTCTTCAGGACTCCCCACTCACAAATCTTGGTACTCTACAGTATTGCCAAAATACTGAAAGATTGTGAACGGTCACAGAAGTCTTTTGTAGTTATTTTAGGAAGGTGTTATGAGTTTGGGGTTAGCGTGATGAGCTGTTCTTTGGAGTTGTCTATCTCTCTGCATTGCTGATAGAGAGGATCCAAATAATTTTTTAGTTTGCCAATTTAGTTGAGGTCAATCTCATCCTTAGGGTGTCTAGGTACAGTTCCTTTGCACTGTCCGTAGTCTGATTTTATTCAGCCCTGTACAGCTGGCTTGTATTTCCATCTTTGGTGTGTGGCAAAACATGAAGTTCCTCATCAGAAACCTCATAAGGTTTCTTTCCTTCCCATCCCTCTTTGTTGTCTTATCTAATCCCACTAATACATTCTGGGCAACCATACACTTATTTTAAGTCCTGAGTACTATAATGTTTTAGAGGATTTTTTTTGTTTTAACTGCTCTCTTTTCACTGATTCTTGATTGCAGCCTAAGGGTGTGATTGCAGCTGACACAGGCAGATGAGTTTTAGAAGTCTCTGGTTGTAGTTCTTTGGTTTTCTGAAAGGGATTTGAAGCGTATGCTGAAACCCGTGTTGCTGGTTACAAGTTGCTGTCAGTGTTAAAGCTGATTAGTTGAAAACCTGCTGAGGCATGGTCTATACAGGCTGCAATTACACCTGTGGAAATATGTCGTGGTAAAATGGCAGTTTTATCAAGGTTAAGGCCAGGGGATTATCTTGCCATGACCACTGTATTTTTTATTCAGCTTGTGTAGGTCGTTGTGTTGCCTTTTCTGTATAATTTTCTACAAAACCCCCTTGATTTAAATCCTTAGCAAGTAAAGCAAGGTCTCTAAAAATAGTTCATAAAACTGTGCACCCCATTAGCTAAGAAATGTGTATTTTTTATTATTTAAAAGGAATGTATTCAATTAGTTTAGTTGACAAGCTGATTGTAGAAGAACTTTCAAAAATAAAAATAAGTCAACTTGTCCTAGCCAAATAAGTATGCTAATGATTGTCATTGCGCTTCTAATCTACTTTTTAATGTTTTCCAGAGTGCAAATTCAATAAGAAAACTAGTGAGTATTTTTTTTTTTAAGAATTATAAAATGCATTAATATTACACATATTGAAAAATTACCCTATAGCACTCTTCACTGCTAATTAAAAAATAAAACTTGTTTGTCACTTTTCTTTCAAGATTCCCCCTGCAAGCACTTCAGGGCTCTGTTTTAAGAAATTAAATGTAACAACACCTACATATAAATTACTTATCAACCGCTTGGCAAGAAGGGTAAGTATATATCACCAGTGTATAGCACGTGTACATTTAAAAGATAGCTGGCGAGCTATTATGTGGTGAAATACAGTAGATGAGATTTATAATGAATGCAGTATAGGAATAAGATTATTTCTGCAGTTCAGGTTTCCAGTGATTCATGATATGCTAGAAGAAAATAAATTCTGATCTCGTACTTCACTTACATGCCATTTATACAATGTGGCACGTCAAAGTTTTCTGAGATTTTAAGAAGCTGCAAAAGGCATTTATATTTGAGACTCTGTTTCCAGATAGCCCAGCTTGCAATGATTTTCCTTTTGTATCAGATGATATGTGATTAATAAGATTTATTATTTCCTTAATTAGAAAATATTTCTGTATCAGTATTTTTTCTCATACCTTCTTCATTTGCAGTTATAGGAAGTGGCAACTGACAGGAAGGTCCATGATTTAAGCACAATGACTACTGTTATTGCGTGTGGCAGAGGCTGTAAAAGCAAAGTACAAACTCTTTTTGCTCTAAGATGTAAAGAAGTACAAAATACGTCTCTGCAATACTGTTTTTATCCCTAAAATGCATTTGGTTTGTTTTAGGTAGTAGTGGATTCTGTAATTCAGTTATTACCATTTTCAAAACAAGGACTGAGTATTCAGGATACTGGTGCAATGTATGTCATCAATACCCCAGCTGGTATTAGCATCAAGTGGGCTCATGTTACGGGCATCATAGATATACAGTATGGATTGCACTCCAACACGTCAGTGAAGACAGAAGGACTTTGTGGTGAGGTTATGGTGCCAGTTAATTTTTGTTCATATTTAATCATTTCTCATTTAAAAGTTGCACCTCCCTTTTGTACATGTGCTTTGTTGTCCTTGTACCTCTCTCTGAGACTCCAATTAACCATACTTACAACCCGATTTCAGGTGGGCTTGTGAAATTCTGTTAATTACCATTAATGAATTCATAATTCTGTTTGAAAGCTTGCTAAAAAGAAGTAGATTTCAGAGCAAGTAATGATCAATGCATTTTATTTAATTAACTTAAAACAATATACTCATCTCTGCTGGCATTTAAAAATATTGTTGAAGTCTGGTAAAGAAAAGAGCCAAATGAAGAATTGTCTGCTGAAGAAGTTGAGGTAGTGACAGTGTGTTTCAATGATTGTGGGAGAAGGGAGTAATTGTGGGATGTTAGCAGCGGCAGCTATTACAAATACTGGTAAAAGGTGTGCCTAGGGAAGGGTTTGAGTCACCTGAGAATGGTGAATCAAAACCCAGACCTATTAAGGTTACAGCTAGGATCCAAAAGTGTGGCCAGGGTGTCTCAGAATCCAATTACGATGATAATAAATTTATATTGTTTCAAGCTTCCCTAATAACCTCTTTGTAATTCTGCCAGTATGAATTTTAGGAAAAGTGTAAGCAGGTATTTTAGGGTAATTTTAATTCTATCATAAATATTCCTCATTTTCTGGTGCCATGTAATTTAACTCTATCTACCCCATATTTAACTGGAAGATGAACTTTTAAAGTATTTCAAACTGCTTTTAGTTTTAAAAGCGAACAAAATAATTGAGAGATGGTTTAAATATCCATTCTAAGCAAATGAAGAACTTAAAATCAATTGCTAAATTCTGCTAGAACAAAAGGAAAATTCTCCTAAATTCAGCAAGAGCAGGGGAATGCTGGCCCTAGCACACATTGAATCATTTTCCAGTATCATGCCATCTTCTTTATGGGTGTTGCAAGGGACTGGGATGAGATGGGGTCAACACTGGGAAGGATTATAGAATATTTATTCTTCATGCCATGAAAAGACAGAAAGAGGAAGAATCTGTAGTCAATACCAATTTCTAGCACTGAACAGTGTTACTCGTATTCTGCAGTGAAGTCTGAAGCCTGATTTAGCACTTCTTTTCTATTTGTCTCTGCCGTTTGTTCCTTCCTGGCATTTTCCTATCCTCGCCCTCTTAAACTGGAAAAACTGTGGGAATGTATGGTAAAATTGACTTTATTTTTGAAGCCGTATTGATTTTGCGATTCTGCAGTGTAGCCCTACAAATTCTAGTGGCAGCACAGTTGGTGGAGTGGCACTGGGACCACAAGAAGCAGAAGTGTTAAGAATGCTGGAAAGCAGTGCTACTATAAAATGCTTTTTATCATGCAATCACAATCTCCTACATTTCTTCACTCTATTATTCCCTAGTCTATTATGAAAATTAAAATTTCAGCATTTTATTATTTACTTTTGCTATGTGTTTTTAGGAGGTATGTATTCATATTGATGAATTTGTGAATTCACACAGTAATGAATTCAGGTAGCCAAATGGATGTCAGGCATTTGGGGGGAATTTTTTTGAGAGCTTCTGCATTAAGAAATTGAGTAAGAAAATTACTTCCAGTAAAGAAAACAATTTGTCCATCGAAAGACTCCTTTGACAAGTTCTTGCATTTAGAATGTTCCAATAAAAGTTTCAATAATTTGTCGGACCATCAGCACCTCATGCCCATGATGTGCAGCTAATTTGAACGCCATCTACATTTCCTCCCATGGAGTCAGCTGCTATTCGGTATAAAGATGTCAGAATCTGGTGCCATGCAGGTGAATTTGCCACGCTCAATGGCCTATTTTCTTAACAATTTTTCTTAAAAGGTAATTGATTCCTGGGAAAGGTATTATTGCTTGAAGCGTACGATCTGCCTTTTTTGCTGTCATTGAGCTGACAATTAAAATTGTGCGTAGAAAGTTGGAACCACAGTGGACAGAGAGCTGCATTCAGTTATAAATTCAGATGACTAAGTCTCACAAGTGAATTTGATGCAATATTAGTCTTACCTTATCAAGCACGCTTTTCCTTCCCAAAGAAAGTAATATGCCATGTTTATTTGCTCTTTGAATGTGATACTCTTGTCTTTAGGGGTGTGCAATGGAGACCCTATTGATGACCTGAAAATGCAAAACAGGACCATAATTACAAATATGGAGGAAATTGAAGTGTTCATTAAGAGTTGGGAAATTGAAAAATCGGTTGATGTAACAACCAGGAGGCCAGTAAGAGATTGTAATGAGGACAACTGCACATACTGTATGGAGCTGTTAAGCAGAAGCATTTTCATCCCTTGTCACAAGAAAGTGAGTATAAAAACCAGAGAAATTCCGGGTGCCAACTGAATAAAAGATGTATAGTTAAGAAAAGAGAGAGGCATATTTTTTACATTGTGCTTATTTTCCTGAGTTGACAACTGGATGGGTGGATTTAATGCTTTTGTCATTTGCCCATTATAACTAATAATTCTTTAGGTGATGCTATGTGCAAAGACACACCTATCTATATGAATCACTATGCTACTATGCCATTTCTGAAAGTGTTGGGTAGGCAAAGCTCAAAGGAGACACCAGAGCACCATTGCAACACAAACGCATTCCGAAGAGTTATGTTTAATAAATGCTTGAGACAGGCAACAAAAAATGAAAGCCTAATGCTTCTGCTGCACACCACAATAACTCAAGCAGTCTGAGACTGCTCAGAAACTAACTAACTGAGGCTAATGAAATTTCCCGTTAAACAAATTTTATGTAGTCACTATTATTTTGGCAATTTGCTAACATTTCTTACAGAAATAATTTATTTTTGGAAACTGTACTTCTAATGGGGATGTAGTTCGAACATACAGGCTACCACCAGAGGTTGCTAGTGAAACGCAGCGACTTTCAGAAGAAGGAAATGAGAAAGCCCAAAATCTCTGAGGACCCACTTACATCCTACTTCATTCAAAATAAAAAGAATTGATTGCACAAGTGGCACTTTCTTTCTTAGAGGTGGAAGTGTCCAGATTCCTAATTCAATTTTTACTGTTCTGCCTTTCCGCCCTTGATTTGCTTACTCTGCCTTAGCATGCAGTTTTCATCACAGACAAATGCTGCTAAAGGTATTACAGGCAGCTGAGGTCCTTTCTTCAGACTTGCAAGATCTTCCCTCATTTTGCCCAATTAGAAAAAAAATGGAGAGAATTCTTAAAAGAAAGGGTTAAAGAGAAATTAAAAAAAAAAAAAAGTTTAATAGATATCTGCCACAGAAACTTAATGGGGAACACCTGTGGTAAACAATTTGGAATCAAGAAGGGAGAACAGTGTCAACAGCTGTATGCTTTTCATAACTGTTTTAATGTTTCTCAGTTTAAAATAACTTGAAGTGAATCTGAACAGTCAGAATTCTTACTTCATATAGTTTGCAGGAGAACTCGCATAGCCTCAGATGCAATGTAGAATGCACCTTTTCCTGGTTTATAGCGAAATCTGACATAGTATCAAAATTTGCTTGCGCTTGGTTCGTCCACGATGAAGTTTATTTTCCTTCGTGTACGTGAAGGTGGCAGAGCCAGAATGCATGGAGCCTCTTGTGTGCTTCACAGATGTGAAACAACTGGGCAAGGATAGGTGGATAGGTAACAGAACCGTCAGTGTAATGAACTTTAGGACGGAAGAGAGTGACTGCTTGAAGATTTCCTGAAAACAGAAGGAAAGCAAGGCTGCTGCACAACAGAGGACAGGCAGAATAAATCAAATGTTTTCTTTTCCACTTTTTTATAAGCTTATGCAAAGAAAAACAACAGAAATGATATAGGTTGGAGCACCTGCATGTCGACTGAGTAACATAGGCACTCAGGTCCTCTAGACACAGCAGCAGAGTACTCTGCAGTAATGTATTCACAGCTGGATAATTTGTGGAAGATATAGCAGCAATGTTTCAGATTGTTGATTTTTAGCTGACAGAACTGTATTGCAAGGGTTCTTGCCGTTAGCACAGCAGTCTCATTAGGACTATGTTTTGTGCCTACTAACGAGCATACAAAATTGAGGCAGTTTAAGTTTTATAGAATGAAAGTTCTGAAGAATTGGTATTTTTCCCTTTACAGATTACTTGTGATTTCTTTCCCCTGCAGCTGTGTTATTTCTTGTAACTAAAGTTTAATTTTAATTACAGAAAGCTCTAACTTGTTAATTCTCAATTACAATGTGTTCCTAGGTTTCGCCACAGGAGTTTTGTGAGAAGATGTGGATCAACAGTACTTATTTTTGGAATTATGAGTGTGATGCACTTTCTGCGTATGTGGCTTTGTGCAACAAGCATAACATCTGCATTAAATGGAGGACACCTGATTACTGTTGTAAGCTGATAGCAATGTTCCGTATCCCACTGTGGCTTTATACCACTGCAGTGTTTACTGAGGAGTAAAAAAAATAGTTCTTTCTATCATTATTGAAAGTATGTCACAACATTAGTAAGTCAGAGTACAAGTTTTTAAAATGTATTGCTTAAGTTGAAGTGTAATGGATCCATTTAAATCTTTATTTAATGCATTGCTTGCCTAAGGTATTGTTAAAAATATAAATGTATGCTTTTTCTGGTGAACGCATTTGTTCTTACTACCTGTTTATCCAATGAAATGATAAAAGAATGAAGGTATCACTTAATTTCCTCTGTTTTTATGACTTGCAGCATTGAGTTGTCCTAATGGCAAGGAATACCAGCCTTGTGTGCAACCCTGTGAAGCCAAGACATGCTTGAATAAGTGGTTCTATGAAGATTCTCCCTGTTCCTATTTAAGAGAAGATTGTGTGTGTAAAAATGGGACTGTTCTACATAGAACAGACTCTGATCTCTGTATACCAGAAGAAAAATGCAGTAAGTGCAGCAGGCAAGCATTGTTTTGCAGATATGCTAGTATTAACCACAGATCAGTATAAATGATGTGTAATTTCTGTGTCAGTCCTCAGTAAGTGTGACTCTGAAGTTACCTTCTACAGAGTCTAGCTTTTATCTCAAGCCGTATCAGTTTGTGCTTTCGCTTCACTTGGATTCAAGTGCTGACGCAATCGTGTTGGGAAAAATGATGGCCATTCTTCTGCAGTTCCAAGACTTTCTCTCTTTTGTAGGGTACTTGGGAAGGAACAGAATGGATAGGTTCTTACCTCTGCATTCACTGATTGTGTTCACCTATAGCGAAGCACGTTTGCATTTGTTTTTTTTAAGGGCTATCTTCTTTTCTTGGATTCCTTGATAGTTTTCTAGACCTTTCCCCAGTAAACCGTTGAGTTCTTGATTGCAAATCTCTGTATGAGGGCAAGGTAACATTTCTTGATCACTCAGAAGCTAAAACTATCATACAAGGCGCCAACATATTTCTTAATGTTAACTGCCACTCTTTATTATACTTGTTATCTGATGAATTGTTTCCATACTTAATACAAGGTGTAAACTTTGTAAGTTTCAGTAGTTTGGGTCCTCGCTACTGAGTTGACTGCTTGCAGAATTACTATTGGGAGAGATGAAATTAACAAAAACTGGAGCAGAATAACATGAGAATAAATGCCTCTGGAATTGGTTCAGGAAGTACGTTGAGGTTGGTCAGGCTAAGCTGTCGCAGAAGATGAATTTCAATGAGAGAGTTTTTCAGTCCCCAGAGAACCTGGAGAGTAGATGTGAGAATATACAATTAAGATGACAGAAAAGTTAACTGTAAACATCCCTATATAAATAGAGGGTGCTTTAGCTGAATTAGCTGATATACTTGGAATCAGAGTCCGTCAGAAAAATTCCAGCAAAGCATTTTTCAGGAGAGTCGGCCAGAATGTCAGAGCATTTTGCCACTCTCTTTTACAGAAGCTATCGAAGCTTTGGGGATTCCAGGTTGGAAAAAGACCAAAATTTTGCATAATGATTCTGAGTGAAGTGTAATTCCATGCATCTGCATAGCTCTAGTAATAGTCATTCAGGATGTCTACAACCAGATCTTTCCAATAAATTGATACTGCTAGCTCCAAACAATACACAAAGCGAGCGGGATTTTTTTTTTGTGGCTAATATGTTTAAGGTGCAGACGAGGCTGGGGCAGAGGGACGCTAGTAAATGTTGAATGGTAGTATTTGAACTTATCTACTCTTCTATTTGCAACTTGCATTTACTAAAGTTAATGCCGTAATCATTTTGCCCAACTTTTGACTTCTATTAAGATAAAAATCTCTCCCTGGATGTATTTTATCTCTGTATTGACTATACAAAATGGTTAGCTTAGATTTCAAAATTGCTTTGCTTACTTTCTTGAGGAAGTTTAAGAAGGAAGTGTCTGATCCCAGCACCATTGGGCCCCAGTCACTGACTCCTTAGTGCTAGAGATAAAGAGGAAGTTGGTGTAGAAAACTGTGACACGTCATTTGGAGAATGGCAGCTATATTCTGCACCAGCTAGAGTTAGTGGAATAGTTCCATTAAACAAATATCTTTTCAGTGATTCAAATTCAGGCATGTTTTAAGAAATAAAGCAGATCAGTGATAATCTACTTTATAATATTTTATGCAGTAAGGCTATCCAGATGACAGACTAATTTATACTTGCTTGCAGGAAATTCTGTACTGTTTTCTTGCCTAAGGGATGTGATGTTTTTCTCTCAGCATGTACAGATAACAAAGGACAACCTCGCTCTGCTGGGGAGATTTGGAGTGGGTCCACGAGAGGCTGCTGTATGTACAACTGTTTGGAAAATGGAAGTGTTATTGCTGTGGAACCTGAATGCAATGAGGATCTACCACCAGTTTGTGAAAGAGAAGGGGAAGTTATTGTCCATATCATTGAAGAGAGGGCTTGCTGTCCAAAGAAAGTCTGTGGTATGTACCTAGCCACACACATTTGCGGTAACAGAAGTATAAGGTAAACGCCTGACATTCAACACGTTGATCTACAGACAGGGCTCAAGGTAACATTTTTTCAGAAGTGATTTTTAGGTACCTGTGGCTGGTTGGCAGTATTTCAGCAAAGCAGGCTGTTTTCTGGGGAGGTGGGATGGTCTTTTTATTTTTGTAAGAACTGACTCACTGTAATCAAAACTTTTTTCTTAGAAGTCCACTCATGTAACAAAACTTCTGTTAAGAGTGAACAGCTTTTGAGTGGAATTTCAAAAGAAATGGAGAAGCGTTCCATCATAGAAGTAACTTGGCAATTGAGGCAGTCATCAGAACCTATTTCTATTTCTTTTTTAGTGATTTGGTGTTAGTTGAAGTATCCTCTGACCTACTGCTGTTTCCCAGAAAATAGCATTCTGTCAGCTGATCACTGAAGCATCAATTTCTCTAGCCATGGTTCTTAGCCAAAGAAATATGCTTTTTGCTCCTAAAATGTTGAGCAAAAGGTGCTTGTTTCTTAATAATATATTCAGAGAAAAAGAGGACAAATGGTCCGGCTAACCTGGTGCTTTTGCTCATTAGTTACTTACCTGTAACTGAGACTGTGTTGTCTGTTTGTTTAAGGGATATTTTCACAGCAACATTTCAGCTGGCTTCATGTGTAGGAGGAAGGGCAAGTAAACATCTGATTAAGGAGACATATAACTGTGCTTGCACGGTGTTGCATGAAAGAATATATACAAGCTCTGGGCTGAGCTAGGAGGTCTACATGATGATGTGCAGTGTACTGTAAGCTGACTTGGACTGCTGTTAGTTTGTTGATCTCTGTGCTAGATGGTATAAATATCTTGAGGTGCAGGACTTGTGTTTGTTTGAATAAGTCATAATAATGCTTTTTTTTTTTTTTTTAAATCCCATAGAATGTAACATGTCATTGTGTGAGGCCATTATTCCAACATGCAAAACCAATGAAAAACTGGTTGTAGGCTACCATGCCCTGTCCTGCTGTCCACAGTACCGGTGTGGTAAGGGAAATACAAAAACACAGTTAAGGGGTCATTTTCCACACCTATATTATCTGTTGTGAGAAAGTCTGCCTTACAAGTTGTTTTCATTCTTAACACAATGGAACATTGTAAATGGCACCAGGCAATGTTATATATTTTTCACATTCTCCAATAATTGTATTTTTGCTTCATGTCATTTTTGATTTGCAGTCAATTTTAAGGGTTTTTTTGACTAAGAAAAAGTTAGCAAGACTATCTTTTCTTTATCTTTTTAGTATGAGTTCTGTGACTCTTTTTAAAATACTGATTATTTTATATCTTACAGAATGTGATCCTACAGTTTGTTTCAATGCTTCCCAGCTGGAGTGCAGAGAAGATCAGTTTATTGTTGAAGCAAAACAGGAAGATCTTTGTTGTTTCTCTTATCTCTGCGGTAAGAAGCCTTTAATATTTTTGCAGGTAACTGAGGAATGGTTAGGTATTTACAAAACTAGTCTATAGTTGTAAAGTTAATTCTTTAGCCAAGAATTCTTGGAGCTGTTAGCGGGACTTTATACAGGTCAGGCTGTCTAGTGCGTCAATTTTCTTGGTTTTTGAATCTTTTAATTCTGACATCGTTTTTAACATCATACTTGAACTGCAAGATAAAAATTAACAGACATTGCTCTTCATAGTAGAGTTATGTGATCAGTGCTTTAAGTGTGCTGTGTCATGGATCACAGCTGAGCTTCGGTTTTTCTTTACCAACAAGCTAGCTGTTATTCAGTGTAAGTTCTGACACTTACATGCGCATGCTTTATAAACTACTGCTTTATAAATGTTTTTCTATTTGAATGTCAGTCCATTAAAGTTCTGTTTTCCCAGCTTGTGATAAAACTTGTATTATATAAAACTCAAATGTGCTAACTTTCTCACATCTAAAACTTTGGAAATGTCTGATTCTTTTAATTTAGTTTGTGAATCCTGTGTCGAGCCTGTTCCCTTGTGTAATGAAGGAGAAATTCTCACTGTAGACCATAACACTATACATTATTGTTGTCCTCAGTACTACTGTGGTGAGTGTAACTGTTATCAGTTCAGTAGTATTCAGTAGTAAAAATGACAGGAAATATGTGTATGGAGATTTTTTTGATTCAGCATTTAGGGTAGGCTTCAGTTAGAGATTAAGAGATCTAAATTAGAGTGTCTACGTTTGAGCTGGGTTCAAAGCTCTTGGTACAGTCAATGGTGGTCTTAACTAGTGTAGTCAGCGGAGTCTGGAGAGCTATTTAGTTCACCAGATAGTAGCTACTTTCAGGGTGATCTAAATATAGATATCTTAAATCTAGAGCTGAATCCCATCCTCTGTATGTGGATGTGAAGTTGTTCATATATGTCCATATATTAAAAATCTCTCTAATAAAATGTACAATTTGTATATTGCCATACCTCTGTGGCTCCATTCATGAGTGTTTGAACACTTTCTTAGTATTGTTAACTTTTAGGGGAAAGACTAGACCAAGGATTTCAAATACTACTGGTGTTGGCTACTATTCAAACACTAAGCAGCCAAAAAAATATTTGCAGTGTGACACAGTCACTTTTCTGGTGTTATAAAACACAGAAATTGTGCTATATGTTCTTGAGTAATGTCTTAAGCATAACTGCTTAAGAAACACAGTATTTTTCCAACATAGGTTGTTAGAAAAACATCATTATTATTTAGAACAGTTTATCAAGGGCAATACAAGCAATTTCAAAGGAAATTTGTCTGAGTAAATTTTGATTTTTTTGATTAAATTTTTGTCTTTCCTCTCTCATTTAGTTTGTGATGAAAACCTTTGTTCTGAGCCTCCTATAAACTGCACAGGTGACATGACACTTGTGAAGGAAAAAATACCTGGGCAGTGTTGTCCAGAATGGCATTGTGGTAATTATTATTTTATTCTTTAGTTACTGCTGTTAAGAAAAGCTCAGAATTAGCTAATTGATTAACATGCTTTTGTTTTTATCCTCAGAATGTAGCTGTGAAAACAATACTATGCTAACTTGTAAATTGGTAAGAACTTTCCCTTAGATATTTTTCTTAATAGCTTCCAGCATTCTTACAGCTCCTTTCCATTCTTTGCTTCAATTAGTTCTAAAAGGGTAACAAGGCTGAGCATGGACAGGCTGGAACTCCACCTTCCAGTCCCCAGCTCAAGCATGTAACTCCATCCCTTGAGGAAATTACACTTTGTATGTTTTAAGATGACAAAAGAAGAGAAACAATGTAATATTATTTTGTTCAGTGATGACTAGAACTAATGTACTGGAGGGGTGAGCTTTATGATCTTTTGTATCTTCTGGAGAAATGTTTTAATTTGTTAATCATTTAAGCTCCTTTTTAGAATAACTTAGCGTTGTTAAATGATTTAGCAGATACGAGAAGTCATAAATATTTTGCTGCTTACATATTCTCTCATGTTTTAAAAATAGGGACTGTGATCTGGAAAATTATGATGATTGAATGTTCAAACTCCTATTATTACCACAGTGAGAAGAGCTGCCTCCCTATCAAAAAACTGTGCTTTGCCTTTCTCTTCTGGTTATATGAAGGTTACATAATGTAAAGTGTAAACAGGAGTTGCAAATTTGAATAATTTTTACTTACCTTTTGGAAGAAAGTTTCATAGAAAGCAGTATTTTGCCAATATGATTATTACTGAAAAAACTTTGTATCTTAGTAAAACATTACTGTTTAGCCACTCTGCTGTTTATATTCGTTCCTAGATAAAATGAAACGCTTGTTCGTGTTTAGAGATAAATACATTGAGTAACTTTGAAGCTGTTAGTGTTTCCTGAATACGCTGCAATTTTTCTCTTTTATGAAAGCCAGGGTGGAAGTGATAAAAGCAATACTGTACATTTTTAGAGTACAGTCTCTCTTGTTAAGCATTGCAGTTAGTCATGCATGACTTAAAAAACTCCTTTATCTTTTTATATTCAGGGAGAAGTTCAAAAAATTGATAGTAATGTTTCCAGTGCTTGTGGATGCACTCACTACATTTGTGGTAACTTTTTCATATTAATATCTATTTTGTTTTGTTTTTTAGAAAAAAGGGTGTGCAAAGAACACAGAAGTAGGGCCGTAATCACCTTCTCAAATTTAAACCCTCTTTTTATGGGTGTCTACCTAGTTACGCAGTTATGCTCTTTTCTGAATGCAATCATGGGGCGTAGGAGTGTGTTAGGACTGCCCATGCTTTTGGAATCAGGTGCAGTCTCTCTGGCAAAAGGCAGCTATGAAGCAGGCTCTGAAACTTAGTGTGAGCGCTTCTAGTCCACTATTGAGCAGTAAGGAGGTGATACCTAACAACAGAAAAATAGACTTTGTATCTATCTGGCATGAGGGTAACTGCCCAGCTTTAAGATTAGAACTCTGCTCCCTTCCCTCACTCTGTTGCCCTGTGTAATCTAGATTTCAGCCTTGCTGCGCTCAGGAGTGCTGGAGGCATACTGCAGTGCTGACTGGAGCCCAGTATGCTAAACTGACTCTGTGAGCAAAGCACAAAGCTGCAACACAACTAGAGTATTTTAATGTCTCACAATCAGTTACAGGAATAATATTTTAACTGGCAGGAAGGCTACCTTTTGTGGTGTGGCGAGTAATACATATAATGAAATTAGCCCAATGTAAACAGTATTAGTTTTTTAATAGTATTAATTTAGACGCTATTTTTTGAAAAAAGAACAACAGATATTTTTCACATCCATATGAGGAAAGTTATCAATTTTATCCAGTCATACATTTTGTAGCATTTTCTTACGCTGAATTATATCCCCCCAACCCCCCAATGTGATAATTAAAAACATAAACCAATCAAGTATAAAACCTGGAAAATTTTTGCAGAGCATAGGACGTTGCCCTACTTTTTTCTTCATTATGATTCTGTTGATTTGCTTAATGAAAATTTTTTTCCTCTGGTGACGCTTTTTTTTCTTTCGGTGTTAGAAAAGGATGATGTGTGCATCTTCCAAGACATGACTGTACTGAATCCTGGACAATCGGTGATTCAGTATTTAGATGGAGACCTTTGTTACACTGCACACTGTTTGCGAGAAAAAGATCAGAACACAGGATACAATGCCATGCATTTTGCAATGGTCAACTGTTCCCAGCAATGTGAAGCTGTGAGTATTCTTAAAATACAGGAATGTTGTAATGTGTGAGCAAAATTTCACAATGAAGATAAAAATTGCTGTGAAGTTTTCTGCCAGTCCAGTTTGTTTCAGCAACAATTTGAGAACTCAAGAGTGATAACATATATCTTTTGTGTCTCCAACCTTATTTTAGGAGAGGTAATTTTTAGTAACATATGTAGACATATCCAAATTAGTCTTTATCTGGATATCTATATACAGATATCTAAATACAGTGGCAGGCACTGCACTGAATATACAGTTATTGGGGTCAGTGGTGTCTGGTTACTCCTGCTTCACTTCCACCGGGATTTCAGACTAATTAGGATGATGTCCACTGAATTTAGGTTCCATCAGACTGAGCAACCCTGAAAGTTGTCAACTGGATTGCTGCCTGGGCTTAAGGTGGCCTTTAGATTTCTCAAGTCTAGAATTAGTGAGCCTTAGGCAGATGATGTCCCTTCATGATGTATCTGCACATATGTATATACATACACACACACACTTCTACATGTATGTTGTTTCTCTTAGTATGTTTAGTTGAATGTTTAGTTCATTTACTGTATGTTTGAAAAAATGCTTTTTTTTGCTCTCTTACTAGCATCAAATATATGTTCCTTCCTCCAGTCACCATACTTGCTGTGGTACCTGCAAAAATGTGTCCTGTTCTTTTCCTATGGAGAATGGAACATTAATTGTGCATGAAGTAAGTGCCTCTGGACAGGGATAGAAAATAACTATAACGATATGATAAACACAGTTGTGTAGCAGTCTTTTTTTAGCTGACGCACAGTACTATGAGTCTTGCTTCATATCTCCTTATTTTTGATAACGCATTTACAGACTACTTATGGTCAGTGGTATAACGGGAAAAATGTGTAGTTTTTTATAGAAATGCCATTTCACGGTAGGTGAATACCTTATTTCACTTTATTGGTTATAGTATATTCCACGAATATATGTGACTGCCGTCATTTACCTAAGGCAGGATGTGCTCCAGGAGCAGGACCATATGCTGTGACTTAGAGGAGCTGGGAGCACTTTCATACTTCTGCATCCGTATCAGGACTCCCATGTCCCCCTCTTTGCAGGGCTGCTTTTCTTCCTATTCTGGTTGCTACAGAAAGGAAGGGTGCATGCTGAAGCACAGGGTTCAGGATCCTGAGGGTGCATTCCCGCAGCCACATCTAAGGAAATTTGGATGGGGCCGTAACTTGGTTCATGCTTGCTATTGCTTTGGGGGAAAAATAAACTATCAGACCCTCTCATGAGCACAGCGTGCTCAGCAGTGTGCTGGACAACAGAGCCTTGGCTCCGTGGAGAAGTAGCTGATAGGGAGAAAAAGGTCCTTCCCTTTGCTGCGTGTAGGTGGTGGGCAACAGTTTCCACTCACTTCAGTAGATACTACAGCATGAAAGCACCACTTTTACATACCTACAGGGTTTTGAGAAATAGGTGAAGTGTTCTGACTTTCCTGACAATGATTCTGCTTGTATATTCAGGAAGGAAGCACCTGGAGCTCCAACTGCACAAACTACAAGTGTGCAAAGACTGCTGCAGGGGCTATGATACTGGGGTCTAGTGTTGTCTGTCCCCCTTTTAATGACACTGAGTGTACAAAGGTTTGTACTTTGGGTGAGGTGAGTAACAGTAACTGGTCTACCAGTATGGAATTTGGCCTACACCTGAAAACACACACATACCTCATGCACTGAAAAAAAAAAAAAAAAAGAAAAAAGTGGTAAGTAGAAACATGTAAATTAACAATTTACAACTTGTTTTATATTTTTCAGTTTAGATTTTGAATAACGAAATATCTATGAGGAGTTTGGAAGTTTCTTTTGGGCCTAAATAATGATTGCTTTTAAAATATTGTTGAATTTGAATTGTGCTTGAGATTCCACTACCTAAAGCGCCAATCATGTCTTCAGTTCTGAATACTTTGCCAAGTTGGTAGTGCCCGTACTTTAAATAAATGGAATGAAGTGGTTTAGAACTGTTGCATATTAATGTGAGCTATATTAAAAATTCCTTAAGCTGTGTGAAGAGTAGAAAGATGACAGAGTGCATATAAACCTTATTATCTCTTAAAGTAAACTTTTATATGGACATAGCAAAAAGTATGTATCATACATGAAGGGCTATCTGCCAACATCATATATCTGTATCATGAATCTAAAAAGTTAAATTTGGCTTATTGGTATAAACTAGTTCTAAGAATCTGGATGCTTCACATACATTGCCTATTTGTTTCCAGTTTTAACTTGAATTTAGTACTTTTCTAACTTTACAATATTTTTCATAATTCTAGTTCTGGCACTTGTATACTACATATAGTATACTATATTTATAGTATAAGCTATAAATAATAATAAAATAAATGTGTAGAGAGGCTGAGTATCATCTCTTTTGACTACAGATTATAAATTTAGCAGAAGTCCTATTGCATTTGTTTAAAAAAAATCCTTATTTCTTCCGTCTTCCGATCTTAAATAAGGCATTCTATCCAAAATTAATACCTGTTCTACTTTGACTTTATGCTTGAATTTCTTCCTTGTAACCCTTTTGTCACTTTCTGTTAGAATCTTACCTTAATAATAATAATCAAGATTTTAAAGAATGGAACCTTAAAATTAACTTCCTGGGTCTGTCTGACCTACTTTTAAGAGATGCCAGGTGTAGATTTGAGCTGGTAGCTAAGGAGAAGGCTCTTCTAACAGTCAGCTCAGGATCACTGATCATCCTAATATGGATTTAAGGGGCTGAGTTTAAGTGTTCATTTAAGAGTTCTTGAATAACTTATTCAGCATTTTTTCTGTAATGAGCTAAAAATGCCTAATAGGATGGAAGCCTAAAAAATGTATTTTGTTTGTTGTCACCATAAGAGTGCTATTTTTATTCGATGGCCTGTTTGATATGCAGTTCTGGGTTATACACTAAAATTGAGGGTGCATTTCTTGCTTGCACTCATTCCAACAGATGGCAGGTACTCTCTTGCTGGCTGTCTCTCACTTGCTCAGTCGTGCTCTCTTAATTTAAAAAGGACATTTTCTTCATTTTGATATATTGTTGCTTCCTTGGTTAAAAGCAGCTTTAGAAGAAAGCGTGGCAAAGATTATTATTGTTTTCAGAAGAACAACAGAGCACATCAGTGGGCCTGAAATTCTGCAGTTAATACTCTTTTTCAAAAGTGTATCTAGGTATAATGTTGTAAAGAGCTACCTGTAAGTTACTAATTACATCGTTGGCCAAAGTACATGTATGAAAATTTTAAAATATCCTAACAAATCTCAGTGCTGGGGAAATAGATGGTAGCAGATGGTATTAAAAAATGCTTATAGAAACTAAGTGGCTGATTCAAAGGAGACTGGATCAAATAAGCAATGATAAGTTCATTTTCAATTTGAAAGTCTTTAAAGAGTTTGTGAACCAAACCTTCAGCTGATGCACAGCTGTGTAACTCTCTTGATTTCAATGATACTAACTGTTATTAGTTGGACATCTTTAAAATCGGAAGTATCTTGAGATACAGTTCATGCTTGTATTGGGCACAGTCTTTTTTGATATGTTCTCTTTTGTTTTCCTAGAATGGAGGAACTGTGCAGACATATAATGATGGCTGCTGCAAGACCTGTAAGTGAAGAAGGCTGCAATATGTGCTAGTTTGGCTTTGGTTTTGGAGGTCTGTGTTTTTTAACCTCAGTTGCTGGGACATAAAGAAGGAAAAAGCATGCAGTCCCCCCACAAATCAAACAAAATTGTAATAGTTACTTAACTACTCCTTATTAAAAGGTCTTTGCTTCATTTGGCTGCTGACTTGGTGATTTTTAACGTTATCCTTCTGGAGTATAACCAAATCTCTCCAAATCTCCTGAGGAACATGAAAAGTTATCTCAATTTAAATAAGGAAAAGATTGTCTTTATTTCTAAGTTGACTCCAAAACATTACCTATATGATTTTAACCATAAAAGATAAGGATTTTTCCCCCTAAAATTGGTTCCTAATTTGATAATATTTTGAAGTAAGTTTATAAACTTACCAGTTTATTCTGTTTCACTCCTGTATATTTTCTAGGGTTAGAATACAGGAGTAAAATATTTTTTTAATTGAAAATAAATTCTCTCCACTTCAGAAAAAATATTTAAATACAAAATGAGGAAAAGCTATTTGGAGTTAAGTAATGTTGATGGTAACGACCCTTACATAGAACTGACATTTTAATATCTGGGAATGCCTTCCCATTTTCTGAATGTGTAACTTTTAACACATAGTTCATGAATTGTGATGTAAGTTTAAATAAAGGTCTAATTATGCAAGTTTAAAAGCAGACTGTGAACAGAATTTTATTTTCTATGCAGTTTTGACTAGGAAAGATTTTATTATCAAGGCATATAATTATAGATTATCATCTATAATAAAATATACATTATTATTTTAGTAATTAAATTAAAGTTCCAATTATTATTATATGCTATATATATTATAATATTATATAAAAATAAAGCTGTGCTGTGTAAAAGTAATTATGTAGGGCAAGAACTTGCTGAATGCCACAGAAGTTCCTCCTCTGTTTTTCAGTCTTTTTTGTGTTCAACATCAGAGTTAAAATGTATAGGCAAATTGGTCTTTGGGATTTTTTTTTAACAAACCTCTTATTAATAATATTGAATAGGAAGTCACAGACATATAACTATATATTGCACAGCTATTTATAAGATTCAGAAGTGCAATATATTAGGCATGTATGTGTATTTGTGTTGTAAATAGTTTTGCTAACGAGGGGAAATACTGTACTTACGAAATACAGGACAATACTATAGTTTCCAAATTGTGTAAGCCTTTGAAAGTGAACTGCAAGTATTTTTGCTGTTATATGCAAAGCATAGAAAATAAAAGCTATTTAAATACAACAGAATACTCTCTTTTTTAAAATGAGAATCAGTGGGGAAAAATAACACATGAGAATTGTGCTAAAATATTTTTAATCGATAGTTTTTATCTAATTAGCTAAATAGTCTTGAACAATATTTAACCAAATCACCAAAAAAACAGGTTGACTTTATTTAGAAAATTAGCCTAAAGAATTAATGGCTACTGTTTTTCTGTTGACCAGGAAGATTTATATTCTGGCCATATTCTCTGGCCTCAGGATCCTAAGGCATTGTTATACTTCAGAAATACTTGCTGAGGTGGCTGCTAAGAAAAAAAAAAAAGATTTACTATTTTATTTTTCTTTATAATTTTGTTTTATTTTAGCTAAAAGCATGTGCCCTGTGGTGAAGCAGTTAAAAAGACTACTTATAAATAGAGCTTGCAACACCTTGGGGTTTTAATGGGAATAAGTAATCCTTCTGAAAGAGCTTGATTCAATGCATGCAAAGTGAATGCATATATTTAATTCTTACCTTGCCATAGAGAGACTCATTGCAAAAGTTTGGTTTACAAGGAAACATCATTCCAGTTTTGGGTTAACCAGGAGAGTAATAAAGTTTAGGTCGTCTTTAGCGAGACTTGAAGCAGCTGCAGAGTTTCTAAATTTGGAAGAGTAACAGGAAAGCTCCTCACCTTTTACTAAACGAAAAATTGCAGTTGGCAGTGTAAGAATTAATGAAATGTCATTTATATAAAAAATGTTTATATTTCATGAGAAACTTATATTCCTAATAATTCTGCCAGGTTCTGGATTGGGTGTATTACCCTTTGCCATTAGTCCAGTAGTGTCTACTGATAGTATTAATTGTGAACCAGGTATTATTTTTAATAACGTATTTTCTTCTTTAAATAATGGTGTAAGCATTGCTTGTATATATGCTTATGGCTGTCATCTACCATTAAATGTTACCATGTAGTTAATGGTATTGGGCCTGATACTGAGAGATGCCGATCCCCTGTTGGCCTCCCAAATCAGTGGTTTTCTAAAAGGTAGAGTTCACTGCTCAGCACCTATCAGAATTAGGCTCATACATTTGTGGTATATGCTGCTGTCAGTTCTTCCTCCTTCTGTTCTTTTCTGAAATCCGTTTTAATAAATGAACTTACTGTACATGGTAGTTATCATAAGAAATGATGTTACTTTTAAAAATATCATCAACCTGAATTATTGTTACTAAGAGGTTCTAAACCTGATCCTTTGTCTCTGAATTTAATGACTAAACTCTCTTTGCCTTAAAATAGAGCAAAAGTGCACAATACTGCCCGGTCTCGTCTTTGCAGATATGAATTTATGCTGTATTTCTTCTGTGTCATAAAGAATATGTTTTACAAAGTTAAGAAAATGTTGGGGGAAAAAACATACAACCTCAAAGTACAATCACATGCTAATAAATACTCTTTACACCAGTAATTAAGGAAGGTTACAGAATCATTGCATTATGCTCAGAATTCTTTGCTTTTAATGATAGGTAACTTTACAGAAGCTTTGATTCCTTACTCAAGTAAGGAGCATGTAAAACAAGCACACCTGATACTGAATGCAGATCTTTCTGACAGTTGAAAATGGGAGGGAGGAAATTATATCAGCAGAGAAGGTTTTGTTAGACATCACCATCTTATTCCCTGAAATGTCATGTATTTCTGTATATGTGGTTTGTAGCACTCCAAAGATTGTACTCTAGCTGTACTTTGGAGACAACTCATTTTTAGATACCCACTGGAGCTGGGATTGCAGAATATGCTGCTTGCTCAGAGCTCGCTATTCTTTTAAGAGTGCTCACCATGCATTTGGGGAAAAAAAAAGTGTATACTTTTTTGTACACCTGATCTTGCAGGCGTGTGCTGAAGAGAAGAGAAACTCGGCTGAATAGTCCTTGTTATTTTATATGCTGAATGTCCAGAATGGCTATGTAATAATGCCTAGCTGATCTTGATCAATAGGGAAACTGGAGATCTAAATCACTTGTGTTACAGAAATAGTCGCAGCTAACAGTCTGGTACGGAGTGCAACATGGAAGATTTTACATTTAATTGTTTCATAGTCATATTATAATTTTTATTATGTTAAAAATGGCTTTGAACTGGATAGCTTTATTTTTCAAACATCAGAAAAAAAATCTGCCATAAGTATCTCCCAGAATGTACTGGAAGATGCAATATTTCCATAATGGCCAATGTCCATGTGCTGAGTCAGTGCTACATGCTTCATTTCTGGGTGGTAAAAGCTGTACCATATTTAGAAAATACATGCCTCTCTCTCTTTCAAAGCTTCCTTGAGGCCCCTCTCGCTCAGAAAGATATTGAAACCTATATAATTGTATTAAATTTTAAGCAGTCAGAATAGTGTCAAGGTTGCAGTAACGCTCAGGTGTGCAACCACACCTTCTCACATGTCAAGTTCTGGAAGTATTCTAAAATATAGGAGAAAAATGGTGCCTACTTTCTATATTTCTGTTAAATAAATAGAATTAATTCAATACCCTTCAGTCAGCCCTGTCCTCCTCTTATATCCAGTCTTCCTATTAATACTATTCAAAACTATACAAGCCAATTTTTTTGCTAATTGCGTATTTTACATTTATCTTGCTATATGGGCAATTGTGAATTAATGTTTTAATATTTAAAAAAACCTATATAGGTTTAATGAGCCTTTATATCACAGTTGGTCTTATATATGCCAGCTATAAAACCTGTAATTTTCTACAGGAAGTATTTATTAATATGAGAGATGTTTTTTCTAAAAAGAAAAAAAAAGGATCACATTATGGAAGTAATAGTTTCTGTTTGTATGTTAATGAAAGCAGTGTATAATTATTAATGTTATTTTAATTGCCTTCACTCCTTAGTAATAAACAAACACAGCACAGAAAGTATATTCATTCAATATATATTTTCTGTATTTTATTAGGCAAAAAGGAAGAAAGGATTTGCCAGAAAATGACAATCAGAACAACCATAAGAAAAAATGACTGTATAAGTCAAAGCCCGGTAAGCATAAAAAAAAACCCCAGACTGTGTTTCATGCTGGGCGTGCAGCATACCAAGTCAAGTGTTAATAAGTGGATTATAGCCATCAATAAGCAATAAAAATGCTGCTGTCTTCTCAAAAGCAGACCTTTCACCCTAGGAATGTTATCCTACTCGTAAATGGAATAAAATTAACTGGTTTTGCTTATGTATGGCTGAAGGGCTGAGCCCTCCTACCTGGAAAAACATCTGGCTCCAAATGAAAAGTACACAGCATAATTGCTTATAACTGACAAAGGCACTGAACTCCTCACCATGAAATAACATCCCACTGTAACAGAGGAGTATAAATGCTTCCACTTAGGATGTGATGGAAACACTGTTACATTCCTCATTAAAGACCTTTATTCTCTGTCTTCTCCTCCATGTAGCATATCTCTGCATTTCATGAATTCATAATCTCACTTATTTATGTGCCTATTTAAGGCATCTTATTTCTCAGCTTTGGTGTAATCCCGTCTGTAAAACCTAGGATATATCCAAAGAGTAAATGTGCTTCTCATGTAGTACTTAAAGAAATTGACCCAATATATTGAGACTTCCAGAGGTCTTCTGATAAGCCTCTGCTGAAAAAACTAAACAGCCATAAAGAAAGAGGAGTGGGAAAGTATCATCACAGATCAAAAACTGGGCAGGCTAATTTCTATCCTAATAGGAGGTCAACAGTGATATGCTTACGGTTGAATAGTAGAAATAGGATTTCATGGTGTACTTATTGAGTTCTGGAAGAAGAGCAAGTAATGATGGAACGTAAATCTGTAGGTGAAATTATAGTTGTTTGCTGTAGTTAGGACCACACTGAGCTTCACAGTTATTTCAAAAACTAGATGAAGGGGCAGCAATATGACAAAATAAAGGAATGATATTGACTGAAGCAAAATACATTTAAAAAAAAAAAAAAAGTAGTCAAACCTCATAAGTTTTAAACTAGCTGAAAAGGACCTTACCCTTCCAAGTAGCTCTTGTGAGAACCTCTGTTTAATGCTCTCCTGCAGGCAGAAAGGCTAACTAAGAGTTGTGACATCTGGGGAACAGGGTAGGCAATGATAACAAACCTGTTCTAGTGCCTCTTATGAGACCATGGTGCAGTACTGCCAAGATTGTTCTGTGCAGTTGCGGTCCCTCTATGCTAGTGCAGAACTGGAGAGGGTTCAGAGAAATGCAGCAAGAATGTTAAACAGGTCATTCCATGAATAACATAACAAATGCAGCCTTGTTTCTTATGACTTCGTATCATGTATTCTTTATCTTTCCTTCTTCTTCTACCCACCTTCCAATAAGACGTCCTATCTCTATCTGTATTACAATCCCCTTTCCTTAATATGTTCTTGTTCCCCATCTCCCTTACAATTGCCCATCCTTCCCACAGTCCAGATTTCCTTACTTTTCACCGAGAAGTATCTCCAGTTTTTCAGGTCCACAAATTTTCTGCTCATATCCTTAGCTCCACTTATTTCCCCCTCCCACTCCTGCATCCTAATACCACATGGCACCCTATTTCCTTGCACAACTTCGGCCTATCAAATGCCAGTATCTGCTAGGACTGGTTTGTTAACTATATGTGTACTTTGGCCAGACTACTGCTGTATAACTTTTGATAGGGCTGAGTATGATTAAATTTAATTAATAATTTAGGTTATTAATGCTTTGGACAAGGCATTAATAGGGTCCTTCTCCTTTTCCTGTCAAATTTAATGAAAGCTGTGAGATTTTAATACTTTTTAGACCATACTTTTGATCAAATTTGTTCAGAAATGGCCCCTTCATTTAAAAAGTATTTGTATGGGGTAGAACAGAGCATCATTGGTAGGCCTCACTTCCATAAAAAATCAGACTAAAAAACTATCCCCAAAAGTACTAGATCTATTACGGCAAGTCCTAAATTCTCAGCATGTCAATGTCTGCTTAAGGTTTAATTAAAATGTATTAATTTATTTTCTGTTGCACTATCAGCTAAGAACACTCTTCACATAATGGAATAGTGAGTGAAAGCCTGGTTCTGCTGTAGTCTAGAGCACAGATAATTTTATACCCAATCTTCCCCCTTGCCAGTTCAGTACCACACTGTCTACTTTTTAGATGTATTTGTTACAGTGATAACTGGTGTGCCCTTTGCTACTAGCAGTATAAGAAAGGGGAAAGCTTTTGCGCTAACTTGTTTTCCCTCTTGAGCCTTCAAAGAGAACAGCTGATTTTCCCTCATTTTGTTTAGAATAATATAGCTTTTCAGCAGTGAACCTGAAAAAACCATGATTTAAGCTACATTAAAAGTTATTCATTTGTAAAACTAAGGATTTAGTTTTGGTATCCACAGCAAAAAGTTTTGCTCAAAGTTAAGACAGAATATATGACTAAACAGCACCCCCATTTTCAGATAAACTTTGTTAAAAATGTGTCTACACTTAGTATGAATGAATTTTAGAAAATAAAATAACTTCTAAGACCAAAGTCCTCTGCAAATGTTACAATGGATTCTAGTTGCAAAGAATTTTGAGATGTTATGTCTTGAAAACAAAACCTGAAATGCCTAACCTGACTTCTTCTTTTATTAACAGATAAATGTAGCTTCTTGTGATGGAAAATGCCCGTCTGCAACAATATTTAATGTCAATATTGATAGCCACTTAAGATTCTGTAAATGTTGTCGAGAAAATGGAACACGTAATCTGACTGTGCCACTATATTGCTCAGGAAATGGCACTGAAATCATGTATGTTATTCAAGAGCCTATAGACTGCTCATGTCAATGGAACTGAACACTACTGTGTGTACAGTTTTGTCCTAAGAATTAAAATGAGTTTCCTTTCACCAGGCTGTATTTTTTGTCCTTGAATGGATACAGTACTCTGCAGGAAAAAAAAAAATCAATTATACTTCATAATATACTTTCACAAATTTATTAGAGGTTATATTGTGCTTCAACTTTCCTTTTTAAATATTGACATGTATAGAAAAAAAATACATAAATCCTTTTGAACCAGGTATAATTCAGTCATCATTTACTTCTGTCCATTGACTTTCAAATGTGCTACTGTTAACTGGTTAATGTCAGTGTTTCCAATGCTTTCAAATTTTGGATTGTGGCTACTTGTCAAAGTTGAGAAATTCTCAATAGCTCTTTTACTTAGAAACTTGCAGTTGAGGGCCATCTTTAGAATTAACATTTATGAGAAAGATTCATGTTGTCTTTTTGAGAACCACTGAATGAACTTACTAAAAAATAGAGTCAGTTGAACTGAAATATTTTTATCTTGCTGAAAAGCCTACCTTTTGACGTTAAGATGTTGTGAGACAGGAGTCTGCTTAAACTGGAAGTCACTGTGAAACAGCATGATTGCAGTCTGTAAGTACCTCTAGTAAATCTCCAGAGTATACAGTAGAATAATAATAAAGTTTGTAAACCCTTGATATTTACTTACTTTTGTTATTTATGTTATAAACATGAAGCATTGTTAGGCAAAGGCCAAAGAGTTCAGGCTTTTGTGCCTTTATTACAAATATCTAAAAGTTGTGTCTGTTATGAAGGGTTCTACTTTATATCTTTTTTAAAGTTTTTACAAATAAGAAATTGACTATTAGCTGCAGAATAAGATTCTGTCTATGTATGTATGTATTTATTTTAAAAAAACAGCGAGTGCATATTTAACTGTTCATAGTGGGTTTCACCCTTTGTTTAATAGTTTGAAATTGTATGTTCAATATATTTTAATGAAATACATTTCTTTGAATTTTGAGATTTGGACAGTTGAATGAATCTAGGGCTCATAATTTTTGAGTCTGCAAAAAAAATTCAATTTAAGATATATGTTTTGAAGGGCACAGGTAAGCTAGACATGTACAGTCAGGCTGTGAATGTCCATGATTCAGCATTTTAAGTTGAATATGCTCTCCCTTATATTAATTGTACTACATAGGATTACCTTCAAAACTACAGAAAAAAATTTATGCTTGTTTTTAGAAGTCTACTTTGCTTTATAAACTCACTGAATGAAACTTTAAACAGTGGGAGTTCTGCCATTGACCTCAGTGGGGCCAGTATTTTCCTTGTCATGTAAATTATTTTGAAATTAAAATTCTTGTCTAAAAGTCTGAGAACTTTTTTGGCAAAGGTTTTATTTCAAGCTGTCAGCATTTAATTACAAAGAGGTTGAATTATTGTATTGGTTTAAACAATAAAAAACAGTCAATATAAGATGAAAAATAATTTAAAACCTAAGGCCATTTTTCATCAGGCTATTTCCTGATGAATGTTTAGCTTTATTCATTTCGATGGATTATGAAGAAAAATAGTATATACATTGAAATCTGTCTTTACTAACAGGACTCTGTCTCACTTATTCATCATCTCTATAAAAACAGTGATTCAGTTTAAGAATTAAAGACAATCCGTTGTAATCATCAGTAAAATATTTAACCATTATAAAGAAATAGTGATCACCTAGTCATCAAGATAACGTGCTGCTTTGATAAAGTATGTGCCTCATTTGCACACTGTTATGATTTGTATGGCAGATATTTCAAGGTGTTATATATGAGGGCCTAGAACCAAAATATTCTTTGATATTGCTGTAGTAATTTGTATACAGAAACTTTTCATATGGGCCAAATATGGAAATTTAATCATAATCATAGCCATAAAGTTTGTGCACTAGTATAGCAAATGAACAGGACAACTATTGAAAGAAACATAGATCCTAAGATTTTTGTCAAAAGAGTATGGGACGAAACTTCTTAATGAGTTCTGCACATGAAAAATTGCTTCAGGAAGATCTTATAAGCTAGAGCTTTTATATTTAGTGACAGAATACTTGATGAGTTTTGACTGAATGCAATACTAATTGTAAACAAATCATTTTTATAAGCTTTAGAGGTGTATTTGTAAGTAAAGAGAAATTAATAAACATTATTTTGAAGAATCATACGTATGCTGATAAATCAGTGTTGATGTGTTTAATTTACCTGTGCCACTAAGGATGAACTATAATGTAGAATCTTAAATTACCCTGGAATTACAGGCATGTAAGTTTTAAATTATCTCCATGATAACATGAAATAGGAAGAAATGTATTAAAAGATTTTGCCCTCTTACGTGGTTTGGTCTAAGTGCAACAGTCAGTGGGAACTGTGTCAGGATCCTCCCTGAAGCCTACAGCAAAATCTTGAATTTTCAATGGAGCTGGGGCTGGTCTAAGATTGCCTTTCATTTTAAAACTAAAGTTCAAATTCTGACTTCTTTGGCTTGGTCAGAAAGTGAACATAAATTAAACCTTTTGAATCATTTTCTGGACAGTCATTGACCCACACTACCTCCATGAAGGTAAAATTGCCATAATGCAGTATGTTTTATGTGAACTAACCCTTGCAAGCCCTGGAGCAGATACAACGTTTAAGTGAGCCTGCAGTGTGTCAAGTATGTTCTGCTCCAAATATTTCCTCAGTCTACACTTTAAATATATATATAGATGCCATTCCATGGTTATGTCTAGGTTTCCTCATCTGGGGCATTCCTGCCCCAGTTCCCCACTCTGGAATTATGCATAAACCCTGTCTCTGCAGGCATGTTGTGAGCTGGTTTTGAAAGCTGAACCAACTCAAAGCTAAGCTAGTAAGACACCAAAATTAATTAGTTTATTATTGATTAACAGAGCTTTACTGCCCACAAGGTTCCCTCCCTTCTACCCTCTCAGAAACTAAGACTCAAATAATTTCTACTCCCTTTAAAAAAAAGGCTGGGAATGCATGCCTTTCTCTAACTCCCACGCTTTTAGCAGAAGATGCAACGAACTGGAGAGAAACTGCCTGCATGACCTAGTGTAAGCCTTGTGCTGTTGTCCTGACTAGTCATGTCCTTTGCCCCATTCATAATTTGTTGCAACTGTCCTTCATTCCTAGATTTTTGCTGTCTTGTTCTCCTAATTGTGCTCGCAAATGGCATTGCACAATTTAAAGGCTTATCCATAAAAATATATAGGGTTTTTTTTTGTTTTTTTTTTAGGAATTTAGGTAACTATATTTCAGTACTTAGAATCAGATTCTAAGTGAACATGCCTCTACCTAGTAGTAAGGCTTTCCCTATATTATTTGTAACATTTAGTTTTTATAATTGCATTCCCTTACCAGGTCGTTTGTAATTAAGACCAATTTTTGCTCCACTATACAATTAGAATTTGAAGCATAGCTTTGAATATCGAGTTTAAGCAACTTACAGTGCCTGTTTTTGTCAATAAACTCCAATGCCTGGCATATAGCTATATATACAGCTGATACTTTGATTTTTAACTGACTAAATCTGTGTCCTAAAAATTGAAAGTGAAACTTCATACATTTGCATGATTGCCTTTCCACACTCCAGGCAGGCAACTTCCCAAGCACATGTCTGTGTAGCAGTGGCAAAAAAGCTGGTTCTGCGGAGGTGCTTCTGTTGCCCAGTTTCTTGGGAGAGCAGGATCAGGCATGAAAGATGTTGCTTAAACATAGTTACCAGCAAAGAAATATACTAAGAGGGGGTTTACAGGAAAATGTTGTGGTGTGACACATGGTCAGCATCCTGTTTGCAGTGCTAAGCAGTCGCACAATGCTACTGCAGATGTGACTCTTTTTCCCTTTCACGCTCAGTTCTCTCTGACACAATCCCATTTTTTTTTTTCTCTTGGGCCTTCAGTACTGCTGATAAACTCAGCCTACAGAGCCAGAATATATTTTTATTATGTACTGGTTCTGTATAACTCTTCCCATCTCTTCTTTCATCTCTCCTTTTAGATGAATTTAAAGGACAAACCCAATTTCCAAATATAGAGGTTAGTCTTTGTGCAAAAACACATTGCCAATAAATGTAGGTACCGAGCAGGGATACTGTGGCAGTGGAAAACATTGACTTAAACTGAGTTTTCAAGTTCTGTCTCATCAAACTCTTTTTTTCCAGAGGTTGAGCTTGAGGTTATGTTGCTGGTGTAATCATGTACCAGTTTGCTACAGAATAATCTCACAGATGTGTGTTCTGGTGGAGGAGACAAAACGTAACTGAATTGTAACACTCATTTATGGCTATAGCAATTTAACCAGTGTAGAGGGGCAGCACAAAAGCTAGGAAATGAACAGAAAGTTTTAAATGTAGAGTGGGAAATTGGTACTATATTCTCTAGCTGAGGCTGGATTTCACACTGCCAACCACTCTGGGGAATATATTTTCAAAAAATATTCAGGAAGTGAAAGATCTTTAGAGTCGCATATTTCAACACTTAGCATGAATGCAAGAGAAAAAAAAGGCTATTATTGAGAAGAGGTTATGAGGGAGAGAGCGTGAATGTAACATTGGGTACTAAGTTTTCTATTTCTCTACCCTCTCTTTAAATGGGAAGTGGAATGTACAAGGAAACTGGAAAAATTATCTATCCATTATCATTAACTAGTTGTCATGGTTTAGGGGAGACGGGCATATTCAGATCTGAAAAACAATGAAATCTAGCAACTGCAAATATGATTCATTGACTAATTCTTTGCAGCTCCATACTGACCATTTCGGAACTGCCTTTTTTGTCTGTTTCCAAAAGTAATTCTATGTTTAGACTGGTAAGGTGGTCATACGTCTACTGAAATCAGCGGTAAAAGATTCCTTAAGATCAGAGAGAAGAGAATCTTACTCAAAGGAGATGGTCTGAAAAAAAACCTTTTACAAGTGTCGTTTCTACTTTCACAAGCAGTTTTTGGATGGAGAATGGGGGGAACTTAAAAAGCTTCTTTTCTACTGCTTTTGTACTCTGGGGAAAACCAGTAGTGAATGATGTTGAAACTGAATCATTAGAAAAGCTGAATAAAAAGAAAATGCTTGTTTTGGGGAGTGTTCTTTTGATTAAGGTAAAATGTGCTACAGAATTTAATGAGGTTAAAAAAGATTCCTGTCGTTGTCTGAAAAAATCAGTCCTTTAATAAAGCCGTCTTTTGTGCTTGGTGATTACAAAAATGCTCTGGCAGGGGAAAAGAAAGGCGTGTGTGGCTCTGTAAAATAGCTGAACATGCGGCAGCTTACTGGGAGCGCTTGTAGTTAAAACAGCGTTGTGGTGCTGTTTGTGCGTTCTGCGCGCGGGCCCCCGCGTTCCTCAGAGAGACTCACTCAGCGTTCCGAGATCGTCGCGGTACCGCCTGAGTTACTTCTTGTTTGACAGGGAGAACCTGGCTAACGTAAAAGCTCAGAAATGATCGTTTACTGCTGAGATTCAGCTTAGTTGTTCATTGTAAGTTCTAAATAAAGGTCTAACTAAAAATTGTGCTCCTTATTGCATAATTCAAATTTCAGCTTGTAGAAAAATACAGAACAGCCTGCTGAAGAAACTCTCTCCAGACAGAAATAATATATTAATTATATGTTGACAGCACCTGAAAAAATACACTACTAAGAATGTCATGAGTGTTTCTGATTTTTATGGTGCATATATACAATGGTGCTAATTTTTGTCCTCTGATTACTTGGTCTGCAGATAATTTATAAACAATATTTATCAGCTTATTAAACTGATGTAATTTCAAAGGGCACAGAGGAAAATTAAATTTCTAATAAAAATCTTGATTTTGGGGAAGGTGAAGGAGCTGGGAGTTACATTGAGTTTCTCTCTGAATCACTGCTTCAAATCTGGCCAAAGGCTAATGTCACCAGCAGTTTTTGTCTGAGCTAATGTTCAGGTAGCCGTATTGTGAAATAAATTAGCGGTCCTAGCGCTGCTTATTCTTGTCTGTCAGTCCTCACGTTGTCTGTACTTTGTTTATCGATGCTCGCACTGGTAACTGCGTTCAGGATCTTTGCAGAGAGCCCAAGAACTCGGCCAGGACAGTCGGAGCCGAATTCCGCCCCAAGGAGATGAAACGAGGATCTTTCCAGTGACTGCACTTGTGACAGGGCTGCGAGGTCTACTTCTCTCGTAGGGCTACGCTCTCTTTTCTGTTAGAGTTGGGATGGTGAAGGAAACTTGCATAACGTCAAGGAGCAATTGTCTGGGTTTCGAGATCAACTTTATTCCAAAGTGGTCTATTTTAGCCTTTTTCATATAAAATTTAGAATTTAAAAACGTCTACTGAGTCTAGCTAGTTTAAACGATACAATGCAGCAATTTATGCTAGTTGCTTTGATTATATTTGTTGCTAAGATTTTTCACAGATACGCTTCACAAATCTGTTATGCCTACCTGGAAAGTATTCTCTTAAAGCAAGTCAAAGCCGTTATTCCGGGGAGCAACTTCCATATTTTGTATAGATTTATTTTAGAATTCCCAAACACATTGCTATAGAAGTTTTTTTTTTAATGTAAAAAAATATATATATATATATAGTGGAACATCTGCTTGTCATGGATTTAAAAACGGTCCGTATTCAAACACAGGGTAACACAACCCTAACACCGAGTAACTGATTTCCTTGGTTGGAACCGCTCCAACCCCGGGCCCTGGCGCTGCTGGGGAGGGGGAGAAAAACGCAGCCAGGAGCGGCCGCGGAGCTGGGCTGCGGGCTGCCGGGCTGCCTGCCCTGCCTCCTCCAGGGCTCCCAGTCCCCTGCGCCCAGCTCTCCCGCCCAGAGTCTCTTCTGCAGGGTTTTCTCCGTCACAGGCTGGCCTTTTCACCCTCCCCACCCCCGGTTTAATA